ATGTTTGTAGGCTAGGAGAACTATGTGGCCTCCTGTGTGTAGTTATAGGCATGTGAGAGCTAGCGCCAAAACCTCAAGAACTTCCACCCAACATGTAATATGACAACCGCATTATTGGGAAACATCTCTATAGACGGACACATGTGCATGTGCATAGAGAGAGCCCTCTTTGCACTGTAGTGACAAGTGCTAGACTCATTCTTAAGGGGGGAAAGGGGGATACTGAAATCCACGTTCCAAGATCATGGTACCAATATTCATTGGCCAACTTTGACAAGACAATCATGAGCTCCTGCATAAGACTGTGGCTCATGGGTCTTTATTGGGCTGGTTTGAGCAGACAGTTGTGAATCGTGGTTACTAGGTCAGGTGGAGTGCCATTTTAGCCACTTATTTTTACATGTTCGTACCAGTCCACTTCTAGATATTCTATTTTTTGTATTATAAATGTTTCAGTGAAGTTTGGAAATTTTTCAGAATTTTTAAAAATTATTTCTTCTGTAAAATCTTTGAAAATAGCATTTTTGTAATTATGATAATAAGGTAGGGTGCATATGGCACCCTTGGATCCGACCGCCACATCCCACAGGTGGGACATGTGGCCTATGGGGCCCACATGTGACCCATAGGGGTGGCATGCCCCACTCCTTTAATTATTTGGTCCTCATTTAATTAAAAATTGAGTTAGATAATCTTTTAAAATAAAAAAATTTGTTTCCTATTATTGTGGGAGTTAGTTTTAACCAAATAAATGTTATTTTTTGAGTTCCTACAAATTTTGAAAAAGATAGAAAGTTCTAGAGTGTGGTTATAATTCTAAATTTCTAATCAAATTACAAGTTGGACATTGATCAAATTATAAAAGGATAAAGTTACTAATTTTCCTTCTAAAATTATGATAATTGATTTGTGGGATGGATGGCTCAAATTTATTATCTCCTACCACACAGATTTCCTAAGTTCCTATTGGTCAAGCTAAGTCATTGGATAGGTATACCTAGAGAAGGACTTGTTGCCTATAAAAGGAGGTGTTTCCCTTCTCAATTAAAAACAAAGTCAGCATGTCTCTCTCTTTATATCTCTCTATCCCCTCCACACCCAAAGTTCTCTCTCTCTCTTCATTAAAAATATAAGTCTCTCTCTCTCTCTCTCTCTCTCTCTCTCTCTTCTCCACGCCTCAAAGTTCTCTTGCTCTCATCATTAAAAATTCGTTTTCTCTTCCCTTGTTCTAAAAGTGTAATGCCACGACATAATCTGATAAAATACGGGTGCCACATTGAAAACCTAATACAGGTTTTGCTTTTTGGGGAACAAAAAGGGGGTTCGCCCAACCTAAGAGGATTTTGTGCCTTCATGAGATGCTATCGATAGAAAATCGGGTGCAGGGTGTATCAAGTCCTATGGGGGTAACCCTAGGCATGATCAAGTTAAGTCTTCCCAGCTGTTTTTACTTATTTTTGAGTCATATTTGCATACTTTCTGTGATTTTTCAGGAATATATATTGTACTTAAATTCACAGTGGAAGGCTGGATATTGTTTATGGGTTGTATTTATTTGCTTTGATAGTAAAAGGAACGGTTCTAAGTTGTATTTAGGGTTTTATTTTTTTATTGTGGCCCATGTAAGTGGAATTCAGGTATATTAATCAAAGAAAAAGAAAAACTTTTGAATTTATTACCTTAAGTTCCACATTGCCACAGCTTTCAGTTATCAAATGTAACATCCAGAAAAGACAATAAAATGCCAACAACATCCTCCACTTAAAATTCATAAATACATATTAACACCCTCCAACTAAAATTCATAAATATGTAAGGCATGGATCAGCATATGCAAGAATAACTCCGAAATACCACTCTTTTTCCCAATAACAGGTAAAACATATTATTCATAGAAAGAGTCGCAAGTAAATTATGATTTTTTGCCATACCAGCAACTTTCATAACAACAACCAACCATGCGACCTCACAATGAGGATTTTATTGATTTCCAAGCTTTAAAAAACACAATTAAAATCCATGACTCGTCCTGATAATTCTGATTCACCAGTTACCAATAATGTTAGTAGAACCAGAAATACTGGGCAACCATGGGTGGACAAACAAACATTAAAAGCCTAAATGCATATTATAGAATCAGAGCCTGGTAGAATGGAGGACTTGGTCCCCAAACTCAAATTTCATAAATGGGTCTTAGTTGCAGGAACCTTGCAAAAAAGAGAGCATCACTGCAATAAAACCCAAACATGAAAACAGAAGCACATGCTTATCTTCTCCTGATGCATGTTCAACTTCTCAGATGTGAGACATGGTGGAATCCAGAATTAGGTATGAGATTGAATAGGGCTCTTGAGAGACAACTATAGTTTCCAAACATAAGTGGCATTGCACCTTCTCGGATATTGCATGCTGAGATGGCAATATGCACATGAGAGTGAAGTTCAAAAGCCACTCCATATCAAAAACTGCTATTCATACAATAAAATTTTACGCCATAACAACAAAATAAATGGGTATATCATATGACACTCCAGGTCTGAGAAAAGCCCCCCCTCTCTAATGTCCTCAGTTACAACCAACTTAAACACCACAAAACCCCCAAAAACAGGTCTCCCATAGGTACACTATAGGAGCGAGTGCTTTGATGTGTAGCCAAGCCACACAAGCCAGTGGCTTTGCTTGTTGCCTACACTGCCTTCATTGGATCGGACAATAAGAGAACCTCCTTTCTGTAAAGGAGGAATGGGGGAATCAATTTGCAATAGATGTTGGAAATTCAAATTTCCAATCCCTGCAAAGACCCTAAGATAACTGCCATAAACATGATGACTCATCTCAGTCATCTAACCCAACAAAGAAGCCCCACTCAAATTGCAAAGTAGGACAGCATACCTGGGTGAATCTGAACATGGACCAAAAAAGGATCACTTCCATCCCTACCAGACATCCTAGCAATCAAACAACTAGAAAAGAACCTCCATGATGTTTGGATTAGAAAAAGAATCAAATGACTGGAAAAGTTATGATCTCTCTCTCTCTCTCTCTCTCAGGCATCTCTTATGGTGAGTTGCCCTCTACCCACCAGCAGGCATCTCTCACTGCTGCTATGGCACTTTTTGAAGAGAAAGAAAAGTGTGGTTGAGAGAGTAGTGGTGGGTTTAGCCTTCCAAAAGAGGTATAGAGAGTGAAAGAAGGAGACTGTGGTGGGGTTTTAATTGGTTAGAGAGAATGAGAGAGGGGCGAGCTGGGTTTATAGTCTCTACTCTCTACTCTATAGAGAGAGAGGCTTAGAGAGAGAAGGTGATGCAAAGTTAAAGAGAGGATGTAGAAATAGGAATTTGAAATTTAGAAAGAGAAGACATTTGGGTTTTAGAGAGAGAGAGAGCCAGGGGTGGGATTCCACTGGTGTCTCTGAGGACAATATGAGTAGTACATGGCAAACGGTGGCCCCAAAATACGACAGCTTGGGCGCACAATGCTTCCCACACAAAACAACACTGTTAATGATGGGTTTGTAGTTGCAGTAGACCACCATGATTGCAAATGCCATTGAACCATTGCAGAAAAGCTCTAGCAGAAGTTTTAGGTTTTTGGAGTTCTTGGGTCGCTCTAGAGTCCAGACCATTGGCTTCGACCCCAAAACCACAATGGAAGCTCTAATATGGAGGGCAGAAAGGGTAGGACAGCTGTGCAAGCCACAGTGAACACGACCATGTCCCATAGTTTAAGAGGGAAAGAGAGAGAGGCAAGGAGGTAAGCATCTCTCTGTTGTTGCTCCCTTAGGGGAAAGAGATAGAGAGAGGCAAAGAGGTACACTGTTAGTATTAAAAAATAACAAAAATCTACTTTGGCCCTTCAAATGAAGCTTGGCTGGTACTTTGATAAAAAAACTGTATGGGCACTTCCAAACCATGCAGTCTTGTACTTGAGCCATTAAGGGCTTATTTGGTGCACTTACATGTATATGGGTGTATTAATCCACGCATTAGTTGCATGATGTTTTTTATCCCCCTTTGATAGCCCATTTAATGGCATTAAGATCTTGGATTTGAGATTTTGTAATAGCTTTTCTGCATATCCTAATGTGCATGTGAAGACATTCGCACGCACTTCAAGTTTTGATCTTCTAGCACATGAAGAGGGAAAGTGGCTATTATCAATACTCTTATTATTTTTTGAGTGTTTATAGAAATAATTAAATGGTGTGGTTTATATAAGTTTGCAACATTAAACTATCAACATAAGCGCACCTCCAAATTTTATTATAAGCTGGTAGTTTTGGTGTCAAAAATTCTTAGGACGGCTTGAAAATCTATTTTCAGCTCTAATTGAAACAATTAAACTACAGAAATGGTTAAAATCATGTAGATATAGATACATGAAAATATTGAAAATGGACGGTCCTGACAATGTGTTGCAAGATGCACTACTTGTTTTACAAAAGTAAAGTGCCTTTATAAATTATCTCAAGAGATGTAGTTTCAATCACAGAGACCTTATAATGGCTTGGAAATCTGCATTCGACCCTAGTTATAAAATTGAAGATTCCAAAAATGGTACATATTGAGCAAATCAAGAAACACTAAAAGATCTTGAAAATAAGCATCCCAGATGACTTGTTACAATATGTACTATTATTTGGACTGTGTATTCTTCTTCTCCTTTATATCACTAAATCTCAAGGTCGAGACGATGGATTTTCAATTATCACAAAAGAATTGTAGTGTTCTTTTGGGGTATTGGTATGCCTATTGTTATATGCAAATGGGAATCGATTATACTCCATCTATCCTATCTACATGATCCATATCAAATATTTGCTCTCTATTTTGTGAGATGCAGTCATACCAGCACTAATGCACCGGATCCCATTAGAACTATGAAGTTAAGTGCGCTTGGGCAAGATTAGTACTAGGATGGATGACCTCCAAGGAAGTCCTTGTGTCGCACCCCTTTTAAAATTATAGTGTGTTAGATAATCAGTCAAATAGCATAAATACCTTCTCCCTTTAAAAGGGTCATGGTAAAATTCACACGTATCCTTCATGCCAAGGCTCATCAAAGCCCCAATTTCAGCAACTGATAAGGAAAAGACCTAAATCCAAATGATAAAAAATGACATGAAAAAATTGAGCAAATGTATGATAACTAAAAAAACACCAGAAAAGAGAGTGTTATACACAAGTTAATACAGGAATTGCAATAAAAAGAGTAAATTACATTCATGTAAACAACTTTGACGAGGCACATGCATGAAAGTCTCACACCCCCAATCCCCAACCCCTATATGTGTGTGTGTGGTTCGTATGTGTAGAGAGAGAGAGAGAGAGATCTGTTATGCATTTTAAATATGTAGCAATTGTTATTGGCTCATGCCCATTAAAACCTATATAACAGTTGTAACTCCTATGTATAATGTGTCTCATATAGTGGATGTTATGGTGTTATGGGCTCACGCCCATTAAAACATGCAACTCCTATGAACAATGGAACTCATGCCCATTAGAATCTGGGGTAAAAGTTACTGAAACTCCTACTTTAATGGTTGTAATTCTTTTGCATGTTGAACTAGCCTTAATGTAACACCCATAGGAATATGCGTATATATCGGGGACATTGCCCTACGATTTCTGAAGTGTGAAAAACATATGTATCTACTTTATCTCGTGCTCGAATATTACTCTTCATCTCTCTCTCTCTCTCTCTCTCT